GCAGCACGGGCGAGAATGCTGCAACACCGCACGAGATTGAATGTGGAGCGATACAGACAAGCGCGGAACAGACTAAAATCGGTTTTCCGAAAGAAGATGCGTCAGCAGGAAGACCGAGATCGCGAGGCGATGGAAAATCTGTACCACGTTAACGACACACGGAAGTTCTACGATACCTGGGTTTAAATTCTTAAAAGTACGTAAAGTTCTGTCCAGTTAGAATCCGGAATCACTTATTGTATTGCAGCGGCACGGAAAGTGACCGCTGCAAGAATTATTTTACAGCGGTTTGTTTACCTAGGCGCCCACTTTCTGTGGTATAAATTTCACGGTGATAATCCAACGTGGTCCGCAATAAAAATCGCAAAAACGTTGAAAATCGCCAAATGTGCTCAAACGTTTCAGGGAGCGAAAAAGCGTGGATCGAGTGCCTCAAGGTAAGCGTCGTAGTGGAACGTATGACCACAAGCTGAACCAGAGGATGTTGAGAACCGTCAGAGCAAATCTAGGATTATCAGATAATGAAATCGACGATGACACCTACGTCAAAATGGATTTCGGACAGCTTCCTGGCCAAAAATTCTACATGGCGACGGCACGAGGAGATGTTCCTGCGAAGATTTGCTAAAAAACTGATGATTTGGCAAGGGACATGCAGCTGCGGAGCACAGACCAAAGTGCTCGTGACGAATAAGACGATGGACTCGAAGCTGTACTAGGGAGAATGCCTCAAAAACCACGTACTACCTTTCATTAAAGCCCATAAAGGTCCCGTGAAGTTTTGGCCAGATTTGGCGAGTTGCCACTACAGCCGGGAAGTCATCCAGTGGTACCGCGATAATAACGTAGATTTCATCGATAAAAACATCCGGCCCATCGAGAGATTTTGGGCAGTAATGAAGCGGAAGCTTAATAAAAGTGAAAAAACGGCTCGGGACGCGATTCAGATGACCAAAATGTGGAACAAATGTGCCAAGGAAGTTGACTCCGGAGGTGTGCATCGTTTGATGGGAGGAATAAAGAAGAAAGTGCGAATTTTCATTAGAAACGAAGAGTAGTGATTTGTATTGATCTGTTCTGGCGAACTGAATTTCGGCTCCTATCTTTGAAAAATAGGATTGTATTTTATAGAATGAACCTGGCTGAATCCATACGTGAAGCTTGAACCGGGTTTGTAATTCAAAAGGTATTTTTTTAGTTTTTTTTTTTTTTTTTTTTTTTTTTTTTTTTTTTTTTCTTTATTATAGAGATTTTTAGCCATAGGCTAGTTCATCTCTTATATTTTTTTAGTAATTTGGGTTTCCTTTTCTGCTAAGTTGGATTTTGATAACTTCCTTTGAAAGTTATGCTTGGATTTTATAGCATAGACCTTACTGAATTCATACGTGATGTTTATTTTTTTATATACACACGAAGCCAGGGTTAAATTGACAAAAGAACGTATTTTTGTTAAAATTTGGTTTCAATTTTCAGCCAAGATGGATTTTGGCTCCTTCCTTCGAATATTAGGCTTGGATTTTGTTGAATACACCTTTCTGAATCCATACGTCTAGTTAGATTTTTTGAAGCACGCACAATTGTTGAGAAATCTGAGTTTAATTCACAAAGTAGATAATTTCATATCAATTTGGGTTTTCTGTTCTGCCATGTTGTATTTGAATAAAGAGTAACTATCGAAAACAGAATGTTTTTTATAAGAACTATTACGTTTGTGGTATTCCGCTTGATGGTTTACCCGGAATTTATCAAAACTCAAAAATCAGTTGCTTTGCTTTTATTCATCTACATTATTACCAAAATTCTTCCATGAAAAGATACAAAAACTTATGCGCGAAATGTCTTGTTGATAACCCGAGCTGTCGTTATGTGGATGTAATGTCGGCATAAATGCCCCTAATTTGAGCCCATACATAAATTATTATTATTATTTATCTTTATTAGGGAGGCTTTCAGCCTTGGGCTGGTTCGCCTCCACCATACATAAATTCAGCAATCGACTAAATTTTCAATATCGACCCAAAATATCCATTAGTACCGTCCCAATGACGCGTTCATCTAGATAAAATTGATAAATGGCAGATGTTTTAGCGATTGGCCCAATCTTAGATCCATAGGCCAACATTAGAGCAATTTCCCCTATTCTTTAATAAAAATACGGCATGTGAAATTCATTCACATAGTATTGAATATATCGGCTTAGCGGCGCCGGTGGTGTAGTGGTAAGCGTGATTACCTCTCACCCCAGCAGGCCTGGGTTCAATTCCAGTCGGCGCCGCCGGGATGTTCTGAGGCATAACATCTCTGATCACGCCTTCCTTCGGATGGGAAGTAAAGCCGTTGGTCCCCGGTTCATGAGTTGATGGGTCGATAGGTAGGGTCCAGGTATGGGAGCTGCCTTCCTGGCGTCGGTAGCATTGGTGCTCAGCACGGAAAACAAGATCGACGGAAAACAAATCAAGGAAAAAAAAAAAAAAAAAAAATATATCGGCTTCACTTTCTGAGGCATAACATCTCTGATCACGCCTTCCTTCGGAAGGGAAGTAAAGCCGTTGGTCCCCGGTTCATGGGTTGATAGGTAAGGTCCAGGTGTGGGAGCTGCCTCCCTGGCGTCGGTAGCATTGGTGCTCAGCACGGAAAACAAGATCGACGGAAAACAAATCAAGGAAATAAAATATATCGGCTTCACTGTTTGGATAATTTGAAATGTTAGTAAAGGTTATTGTTGCTATACACATTTCTAGCGGGAAATTAAAAAAAAAACATTTATCAAATAGGTTCAAACACATCTGCATATCCAAACTTAGGATCAATCACCTTTGCTCATTGCAATCATTGACGCTTAGAAAGCGCCAGTATGACGACAGAGCTTAACGACATCTTAAAATCTTACACACAGACCCAAAGCTACTCATCAATCACCACTGGGCATTAATAGAGTTTGGACAATAGACAAATGGATCGGCAAGCTACCTGGCCACAAGTAAACTCTCAAAAGAACGGCTATTTCTAGACGAACATGTGAAAAAGGCAAATGAGCTAAATGTATGCAATGACTATAATGGTCGTTTTCTCGCCGATGAAGACTAATCCAGAAAAACCATCAGCATCATCTAGTAGATGAACTTTCTTCTATCAGATGGTGTAGTTAGTTTGCGTGGATGTCTTGTCTTTCGTGAGAAATCGACGTATAAAGTATTTATTTACATTTGACTAATTGGGCTATTTCACATGTTCATCTCGATTTGTGCGCAAATTACCATCGTGGAAGATCGTTTAGCACCCTGTGAAAAACATCTAACCTCTCTGGCAGTCAAACTGTTCGAACTGGGCATGATTTATGGCAACGTTGAATCGATTGGTACACGATGCCTGGTTTGTTTGACTTTGCCACCACCGTGCACTGGTTACTAATTTGCAAACCGATTAGTGTGCTGTAGAAGAGGAACGGGAATATTTTCGTGGAATTAGTTGGTCACCAGAAAGTGGGTCATTTTGCTGGAAACTATGCGAATACAAACTACCAACTAATTTGACTAATTTGAATCATTCTGCAGAAGCTTTTTATTTTTGACATGATTAGTACTATGCTTCAGGACATGAATTCCCATGCTCCAACCCACCGTCTCCGTAATTCAAGCTTCCTGATGACTCCCGGACATCGTTCTGCCTACGGTTACAACAAAACCACTCTACGAATGTTAAAATTGTGTGCGATTTTTTTTATATTAGTAGACTAGTTATAAGAATAGAATTAAGTCTCGTTAATCACTATTTGTGGCTCTAATGTCAAACTTGGTGAAATCAATAATAAAATAAACTTCGTATTTTTCAATATTGAGACAACCAAGTGGAAATGGTTGTATATGACCAATATTTGAATTTTTCGTAGATGCTATCCATTCGAAACACGTCCTCCATTCCATTCCAAGTTCCGCAATCGCCAACAATACGAATCCAACCAGACAAAAAAAAGTAACAACCGTCAGCGCAACGTGCACGAGATTACCAGGCAAATCTTGGCTGTCGCCCTAAAATTGGTCTCCCGATCGGCATGGACCATATCCATCGCAGCGCACTAACGGACCCCCCAAAGAAGGATTGGGAAGCTAAAAAAGAAACCAACAACCAGAAGAAGAGGTAGCAAAACAAGAGACCCGCCGCCACGCCAAAGTCAGTCAACCGCGAGAAAACCATGAGCGCGCCGCGAGAAGAGAAAATCACAAAAATCCATGCACGCGCACACTCACACACACCAAACACATACTTTTGAACCGTGGGAAATGCACAGTAGTGGCCTCTAATGGGCTCTGAGATTTGGCCTCGCCGAGCACGGATGGAGCACCGTTTTGAAAGGGGGAGACTGGCGCGAGCCCAACGGGATTGGGAAATCGGGGAGAAGGAGGACCCAAAATTCCAAGAGAGCCGTGAGAGATAGTGAGCGCGAAAATTCAGGCAAGTCAGACTCTTGCTTCGTGATCAACTAGAAGATCATAAGCAGATCAGTGTTAGGGTGTGCCAACAACAATCCTCATTGCCCATTTGTTTAAATTTTTACTCAAGCCGCCATTTGACCTTCGTTTTGGTTTTTTTCCATTGCATTGCAAAAAAAAACTTCCCAAAGAAATTTTAAGATTTGCATAACTATTTCAATACTCATCTCTCTGATTATCCTCAATAGAAACATAGCGTGGCCAGAGAAAATACACAACAAGAAGATAAGAAAGAAAACAACAACAATCGAAGCTTGCGGAATCGTTCCTCCGTGCTTGACATCCTTCTCCGATCGATAGGCGGAGTGTGCTCCAACAAGCCCCACCTTCAACGGAGCATAAAAGAAACGTTATTGGTTCAACGTTCGATCACTGATCATATCAATAAAGTTGCTTTTGGTTTGTATTCCATCTAAGCACGGCTGAGTGAAACGTTTAAGCAGTAGGTAATCGGCATCATTTATTTCATTTACACACACACAAAACCGAAATTGTACGAACAAACAAACAAACTAAAAACTCTCGTTCAAATAAGGAACAAAGTTAAAATCTATATATTAAGTATCAGCTCAATAGTTACCAGTCATCAAGGAATGTGGGCCGAGAAATTTCCTGCAATGAAAGAATAATAATTAAACGATTTAAACTTTACCTTCGCATCGCTGGAATGTAGTCAAATCTTCCCTTGTGGGTGGCAAGTAATAACCAATTGATATTCATTTTTTCATTAATATTCTTGACTGTACAGTAGCTTTCTGCCTTTCTAGGATCTTCATAAAATCTTCATAAAAGGTAACTTACATCGGTACCGGCTGGGAAAAATCATCGATAGGAGCGTCTTGAATCAAGGGATGAGTACGACGATGACCGATCACGTGAGCTGTAACGCCGATGTTGATGACGGTGTCCGGATCTACGATGACGTCGAGGCGAACGAGAGCAGCTGCGTCTGGAGCGCCGATGATGGTATTCATTACTGTAAATTAAAAAAAACAAATAGCAACATATTTTAAGGCAATCTTTCTATTTTATTTGCAAATTTGTTTTGAATCAACAAATTTTGAAAATTTGTTGATGCTTTTATTTCCGACGTAAAATCAGGCGTAACATTTGATAACGGCACAAAAACTTTTGTAAAAAAAAAGTTGAAGGCCCTTTACACGCGAACCGAAGTACACCCACGCAAACCAATACATTCATCGGAAAGGGGAAAATTTCCTCCACCCCCGGGGCCTCACTGAAATGTTGTTGCCTTGTAGCGCAATTAAGAATGTAGGGGAAATGGATGTAATGTCGGCCTAAATGCCCCTAATTTTGGCCCATACATAAATTCAGCAATCGACTGAATTTTCAATAGCGACCCAAAATATCCATTAGTACCGTCCGAATGACGCATTCATCTAGATAAAATTGATAAATAGCAGATTTTTAGCGATGGGCCCAATCTTAGATCCATTGGCCAACATTAGAGCCATTTCCCCTATGTTAATTAACCCTTTCATGCACGTGTTGTTTGTAGAATCAATACAGTATGGATCCGATTATGGCACGGTTTGATTTTGGCATGTTGCCAAAAAAGGGTCCAAGTTTGATAACATATTTTTTGCAGTGCGATAATGATGAGTAATACGCCCTTAAACAAAATTCTATGTTAATATTAATGAGGTAAATCTATTTTTTTTATAATTCCACATTCCAATGTTTATATTTTAGTTATACTGCCATTATACGCATAACTGTCCCATGTTCTATGCAATTCTTTTGTACCGTGGGACTCTTATGCGTATAACAGCAGTAATACTGTAATGAGATTTGGAATTACGGTTATGTGAAATTATTGAAAAATTAAAGTCCGATGCGTGGAGGGGCTGATAAAATCGAGACATTACTGTATTGTATTTAAATGCTTCACTGAATGATTGACTTGACAATGGTCTGAAATCGACATGACATTGTCGTCAGGAGCTGTCCACTAGACTGATGCAAATTTTGACATTTTCGCTCCACAGTGCTCAAACGGCTCCAAATCGGGTCCTGATAAGTCTCCCAATATTTGAACTCCTTTGATGAGAAACTAACATGGCACAAACCATGTGAAGTTTATATGGAAATAACTATGGGAAATCCAAACTTTTTGTTCATTGTCTTCTTACCTTTTTCCATATTGCACTGTTCAAAAATTCAATAGCTATACTTATGGAAAATTTTCTCAGCTACAACTTAGCAGAATATAGTTTTTGAGACAAACGTCAAATAAAATTGTTATTAATTGTTTAAGAGATTGTTAATCTTATGGCATGATCAAGCAGCTGTTTTGTGAGCAACACTGTATCTTGCAGTGTGACATAGTAGCCATGATTTTTGTACTGTATTCTAAGCGCCAGAAACACCAATGTAGCCTGCTGAACAGTTGATTGAGCATAATCATAAGACGTTAGTGGCTTGAATTATTGATAACTTTTGATGCTTACATTATATTGAAAAGTGGTTTTGGGCAAAGTTGTAGCTGAGAAAATTTGCAACGAGCTCAGTTATCATTTTTTAAAGCAGAGCGATATGGTAAATTGTTAGATGGATATGAACAAAACATTTGGTTTTCCCATTGTAATTTCCAAATAACTTCAAATGGTTTGTGCCAAGTCAGTTTCTTATCGAATGAGTTCAAATTTTGGGAGGCTAGTCAGAACCCGATTTTGAACCGTATGAGCACTGTGGAGCGAAAATGTCAAAATTTGCATCAGTCTACTGTCCACATACAACGTTTGGCTATTGTGCAGGCAGAGGGGGAGTCTAAATACCTCTCAAAAACTGTCCACGTGGAATATGAACAACCCATCATAAGACTTCTAATCTACTAGAATTTGTTAAAAATTCCATCAGGGTCCGTTCGAACTAGCATCGTTACTGTAACCCTTTACTTTCCAGAAGGTTTTTGGTTGTTTTGAGATTCAAAAATGTATTTTTGAAAAAAAAGGAGCTATAACAAAAGATGTCCCGTACAGCCTGAAATTATCGAATTTATCAAAGAAGTTTTAATTAAAATCAATAGTATGCTAGTTGCTCTTCAATAGTTACTCAATTGAATCCTGTAGAATACATATAGACGAGAATAATGAATACACGGAGCAGCTTAAATAAATACTGACTATTAAATGGCAGATTAACAAACATGAGACGGACCGAAAAGTTGTGGGAAGAAAAGGTATGATATTATAAAATAGAAGATTGTTGAAAGGAAGCAAGGCCGTATTTACGGAGATACTAGGGTTTAATGATTTGCAGAACCCAAACACCCTTCAAATCGTGATTTAGGTCAGATTTTCAGAGATAAACGGGTTTGAAGATTTGGAAACTCAAACATCCCTAAAATCGCAATTGAGCCGTATTTACGGAGAGGCTTATTTACTGAGATAAACAGGTTTAAAGCTTTGCATAAATGAAATACCGAACCGATGCCAATGTGCTCATATGCCATCAGATACACTACAACCTGATTTCATTGATCATAGCTTGTCATTTTGGCATAATATGATATCATAACATCAATGTTTTAATTACAACAAACCGTTTTCCGGAATTCACACATCCGCGTTTCGGAACCGATGCCAAACTGGCCAAAATCATCTCAAATCACCTTCTTTCACTTGATTCTACCAATTTGACATGATTTGACTAGGCACAAGATAATTTTGCCTGAGATATTACTATGTCCTACAAAACCGATTTCCGGGAATCCCGGAACCAATTTCCGGGACTCCCGGAACCGATAATATCGTAGCCATACGTTATGGAAATATCTAAATTCAGTTTTACTAATCATATTTCATCTATCTGATATCATTTGATGCACCAGACAACCGATTCGCGTGAAAATTTAAAACATTTGGTCAAACTGGTTAAAAAGTACAACAAAACACATTTACATCTCCCAAGAACGAGGAGGGTTCTAAGGGGGTGGTACCAACAACAAAAGTTAGTTCAACTATTCCCCTTGAATAAAAATTCAAGTTTATGAAAATCGGATGAGGCATTGCTGAGAACGAGTTTGTTGAAAAAAATTCGTTCGTCCTGGTACTTTACGGGTTAACTGTTTTTGGCAACTGAAATTTAAACGTTAATTTCACTGTATTTTTTCACGAAAATTTTTCGTTCATTGCTTTTAATCCTTCCCTTAGTCTATCAGCTTAAATTAGATTACATCATGTTATCAGGTTTTTTTTAAATGAAATAGGGTTTTTGATCTAATTTTCGTCATACTAAGCACTTTACCTCTCTTTTTTAACGGGTTTGAACATAAAAAAAATATATATCTATCATAGATGATTTCTAAATTTATTCACCTTTTCATTGGATTTGATAAAGAATAACAAATTGTTGAGATACTGTTTAAAACCTAATACTGCTTCTTGATTCTAAATTCGTGCTACGAGTTTAATTCTGTCGTAACGCATTGAAACTTCATTAGATTGTCTTCGTCCTACGGATAAACGTAGAAAAAGGGGATTCGCTTGGAACCCCTTTTTTGTTTTGAGAACAATGAGCGTAAATATTCATACATTGCGCTCTAATAGGATTTATGTTGTAGCAAATGGCCTAACGCATCGGAACGAACCTATTATTAATTGGTGCACGGTGAAATCATTGATATTATTTATCTTTCCAGCTCAATAGAACGGAAATGGGCGATTACGACAAAGTAGCGCTCTACCCTACACGTACCACCTACACTAGACTGATGCAAAATTTGAAATTTTCGCTCCACAGTGCTCAAACGGTTAAACACCAGATCCTGATTAGCCTCCCAAAATTTAAACTCATTTGGTAAGAAACTGACTTGGCACAAACTATTCGAAGTTTATATGGAAATTACTATGGGAAAACCAAACTTTTTGTTCATTTTCTTCTAGCCTTTTTCCATATTGTACTTTTAACATGTTCTATTGCTATTCTTAGGGGAATTTTTATCAGCTACAACTTTGCAGAATATTGTGTTCGGTTCGCACGAAAAGGGCTTAACAAGTTTTGTGGACAAAAGTTGATATGCCCGTTTCAAATGTTACGCGAGTATTATTCATGTGTTCATTTTTAGTAAACAGGGCCCCGCTGTTGTGTCACTTTTTGTCGAGTGAGTGGACTCAAATCCATCCGTGCACTCGTCTATAGAAGTGCGGAGGCTGCTAAGATTGACAAGAATACGTAATTTCCCCCTATATGTTTTCTCTCCCTATGAAAGGCCATGCGTCTCCTTGGTCGGCCTCTTCTCCTGATCGGCCGTTAACAGTGTAATTGTTATATGTATAAAGCGTTAATTACTATCTAGTTTACTACCCATAATCGTAGATCAGTCCCACCTTTGCTTGATTTACTATCCATATGGGACTGATATGCAATTATGGGCAGTTAAGTCCATCATGTTTTCTTCTTTTCAATTTCTGGCGACGAGGTAAACGGAAAACGCGTCGAGTAATCCGCTTATGATAAAATCTGTCGATGCCTAACCTCACTTTTGAACAAAGTCGATTCGAAACACGTAGTTGTGGTCAGCGAGATCTCGTGTCAGGGATCTAACGCGAAAGTATAGTGTCAGTGTAGAAGAAAAACGCGGACAAAGAAAATATGCCAGATGAAGAGCCAAACCAGGTCCGTCAGTGATCAATATGCCGATGCCAATGTTTGGGTATTTGGAACCGTTTGTTGTAAGAGAAAAGTTTGACGAATATGTCAGTCGCCTCGAGCAATTCTTCCTGATTAATGAGGTTCCGATGATCCGTGTGCGCAGTCATACGAAGAGTTGATTGAGAACGCATTTAACCCCTAGCACCAATGTGGTGACTGAACGCTATACATTTCGGAAATGTGAGATGAATTCATCATGGAACTCAAGACACAGCCACAATCCTGCGAGTATAAAACGTTCCTGCAAGAAGCTTCACGGGATCAGTTCATCGCCGGGGTTCACAGTTCAAATCACCACAC